AGAATTCAGAGCATGTTGGATTCTAGAAAGGTGAATGCAATATATTCTATATATCTAGACAGGGTACATGTAACATAGTGCATAATACTACCAGCAAAGTCTGAGCCCCACTCTGAAATCAAACACACCAAGTAGGACAAATAAAGACTGAGCAAACTTACTTGAGCTCAGGTCAAGTTTCCACTAAAGGAGTTACCAAGATACTTTTGTTTTCTAGAGCTTTTCAGATTTTTGGAATTGGGATAAAGCTCATGGACCATTCTGGCAGAGCTGTCTGAAGGATCAAATGAGCTATTGGTGTGAAAATGAAGCAGAAAGGATACCACAAAGGCTCTTCCTGACTGGGAATGAAAGGAATTTTCTTTTTCTGATATTGTGCATGTGTGAGCAATTTATAAAGGACACTCTCAGATAGCCTTTTGGAAGCCATGTCTCCACAGCTGGAAAAGAATAACCTAGTTTAAGGAATTCATCCAAGTGTAGCTGAGGACATTCAAATGATCTAGGGCAGTGCCCCTAACTTCTTTCTCATCTTGACTTCTCTCCCTCTGTGGGGGCTGGCTGGGGTAAGTTAGGAGGTGCTGGAACTCACAGTGATGGGGACCCTCAGAACAGCTTTCCTGTCATCCTCTCTCTCAGCTGTGAGCTCCGAGGCAGAGACTGAGTCTGTCTGGGTCACTGTTGGATCTCCAACACCTAGCACAGCTCCTAGTATTTGCCCAGAATGGGCACTTGATATATTTTTTCCTGTATTTTTTTTTTTTTTTTTTTTATTGAGACAGAGCCTCACTTTGTCACTCTCAGTAGAGCACCGCGGTGTGACAGCTCACAGCAACTTCTAACTCTTGGACTCAAGAGATTCTCTTACCTCAACCTCCCTAGTAGCTGGGACTTCAGGTGCTTGCCACAGTGCCCAGCTATTTTCTTGTTGTTGTTGTTTAGCAGTCCTAGGCTGGGTTCAAATCCACCAGTCCTGGAGCATGTTGCTGGTGCCCTAACCCCTGAGCTATAGGCATCCAGCCTTTTTCCTGTATTTAATTGAAACCAATCTCTTCTTTTTTTTTTTTTTTTTGAGACAGAGTCTCAAGCCATCACCCTGGGTAGAGTGCTGTTGCATCACAGCTCACAGCAAGCTCAAACTCCTGGGCTCAAGCCATCCTCCTGCCTCAGTCTCCCAAGTAACTGGGACTACAGGAGCCTGCCACAATGCCCAGCTATTTTTTGGTTATAGTTGTCATTGTTGTTTGGTGGCCCCAGCTGAATTCAAACCCACCAGCTCTGGTGTATGTGGCTGGTGCTTTAGCCGCTTGAGCTACAGGCACCAAGCCTAAAACCAATCTCTTGTGCTCCTTCTTGTGACAGAAGGCAAAGTTGGCATTGTCTTAACTTTCATTGTTTTCATCACCAGGCAAAACCCCCTCTCCCAAGGGGTCATTCTGCCTGACTTTGCCCTCTCTACCTCTGCTCAGTTCTTTTTGGATTCCTCCAAAACACAAACACACACACCCCATTCTTGTTAACTAAGGATCTGAGGCCCTGGCTCTAAGTCGTCTTCTTCCTCTTATTCCCTTTCTTAATCATAAGCACCATGGATATTTGCATGGACAACCCAACTATCAATGCAACCTCACCAGGAACTATTGCTTCTCTGAAATTTTGAATTCCAATATCCAATCTAGTTTCTCTGTCCAATCATACTGACTTCAGATTTCCTTGAGGCCTCTCTCTTTTGACCTAATTAATTACTATCTAGCTTGGATCCCATAATTTATCACTTCAAATCACTCTCTTGCCAGTATCTTCAACATTCTTTACCCTTTTTCTTCTTCCTCATGTGTCCTATAAATCCCTAACATCTGTGTTTTTCATTCCAAGACATGGGTGTGGTGCTCGGCAGACCCCAACTGCTGCTATTCCGAGTATGATCTCCAGTTTCAGCTCAGCTTTCAACTCTAATATACTGTTTTTGAGTTTTCTGTTGGCTTCCCTATTTCTTCTCCACAAGCCTCCAAACCCACTCTTACCCTCCTGTTTTAGAGGATGGTCTTGTCTCTCAGGTGACAATTTACCATCTCACCCTTGTATCTATATGCCTTCACCCAACTTCCCTCCTTCCCCACCACCTCAAAGGCATCAGTGAACTTTCTTTTTTCTCTCACCTGGGCCTTTGCTCTTCCCCTTCATGTTTCCTCTGAGATCTTGCTTTCCACTCCTATATTTTCTTCTCTCCTTTCTTTCTCTTCCTCGCCTTTTCCCTCCCTTCCTCCATCCCTTCTTTCCTACCATCTCACTCTATAGCCCTGGCTAGAGTGCAGTGGCATCATCATAGCTCACGGCAAATTCCAACTCCTAGGCTAAAGTGATCCTCTTGCCTCAGCCTCTTGAGTAGCTGGGACTGCAGGCATCAGCCATGATGCCCAGCTAATTTTTCTGTTTTTAGTAGAGGTGGGGGAGGTGTCTCACTCTTGCTGAGGCTGATCTTGAACTCCTGAGTTCATGAGATCCTCTCACCTTGGCCTCCCAGAGTGCCTGGCCTCTGTTGTATTTTCAGTCTCTACATCTTATAAGAGTCTTTCCCTAATAAGTTATAAATATGCACAAAATATTCTCATCTCCTAACATAACACTTTTTACTTGGTATTACCATCTTCCCATCTCTTCTATTTATGACTGAGCTTTTATAAAGGACCGTATAAGAGAGGCCCTACTTTTCTACTTCAGGCCTTTGAACTGTAGTCAGTTCCTCCCTGAAACCCAGCCCAACTGAGGTTCCACTGGCCCAGGTCACCAATGAACTCCCTGTGACTATGGTCAATCAACTCATTTCAGTTCTCACTGTACTTTCACCCTATCTGCCATCTGACATAACCGACTGTTCCCTCCTTGAAACTGTCTTTCCCCCTCACTTCCCAGATACTCCCAGTTTCCTTTCATCTTCCTGATAATTTCTCCTCTGCCTCCTTTGTGGACTCTAATTCCTCTCTCATCCTTTGTCCATGTGGCTGTTTCTCCGTGTTTGTCCTTTGTCTTCTTATGTTATGTCCTCTCCCTGAGAAGGTTCAACTATGACCTATCTGCTGACACCTCTGGGCTACCAGACATCTCCACCTGGAAGTTCCAAAGATACTTCATGCTCATCAAGTCCAGAACTGAATTCTATTTTCTTCCCCATTATCTCCCAAGCCTGTTCTTCTTCCTTTTCCTCTGTATCAATCACTGGTACCTGCACTTCCACTGCCTTGGGAGTAATCTCTATTGTTTCCTCTCCTGTATACCCAACATCCAATCATTCATCAAGTAAATCTTGAATCTGTATATTCTTCTCCATGCCTAAGTTAGTGCCCTAACTCTAGGCACTCTAGAGTTGGCCTCTTCTGACTGTATTACTGCATTTTAAGAGGTCTTCCTGTCTCCAGATTTGCACTTCAACTGTCTTGGTTTGCAGATGCAGCCCTATAAAATGCAAATATACTTAAAGCCCTTCAATTAAAGGCAAAACTAAACTATTGTAGCAAAAGCAAATCAGTGATTTGGATCAGTGTAGGGGTGAAAGAACTGAACATAAAGAAGCATGGGGGAATTTTCTGTAGATGAAGAAATGTTCTATATCTTGATTGAGGTATTGGGTACATGGGGATGTATATTTAACAAAATACATCAAACTGTACACTTAAATTTAGTGTTTTGCAGTAAGTAGGACTATTAGCACTTGCCCATAGACCCAGCTATTCAGGAGAGATGGGAGGATTACTTGGCCCCAGGAGTTTGAGACCAGCCTATGCAACATAACAAGACCCTGTCTATTAAAAAAAAAAGATTAATAATAATAATAATAATAACCAGTGTTTGGGCTGGGCACAGTGACTCATGCCCATAATTCCAGCACTTTGGAAGGCCAAGACAGGAGGAAGACTTGAGCCAGGAGTGCAAGACCAGCCTGAATAACACAGGGAGACCTTGTCTCTACAAAAAAAGAAAAGAAAAGAAAAGAAAAATTAGCCAGGTGTAGTAGCACCCACCTGTAGTCCCAGCTACTGGGGAGGCTGAAGCAAAAGGATCACTTGAGCCCATTAGTTTGACACTGAAGTGAGCTATGACACCACTATATTCTAGCCCAGGTGACACAGATCTTGTCTAAAAGAAAAGAAAAGAAAAGAAAAGAAAAAAGTCAATGTTTTATGTACATAAAATACACCTCAATAAACCTGATCTAAGAAAGACACTTGATAGTGTCAAATAGAAATCAACCTGCCCAAGTAAAACCCACCTACCTGCCCAGGAGAAGTGATGCACGAATGTCCCACCAGGAAAAAGTGAATGTGCCAATTCCTACCTGCAACCTTTTAAATTTCCATCCACCTTAACCCACGTGCTGACTTCTTTCTGGAACTCAGCTCGCCTACACCCCTGTGGAAATAAAGGCTGACTGTTGCCTGCACAGAACCTGGACCCTGTTTCCTTTCCTTCACATTTCTAAATTATCTTTTATTTTCCGTCTTTGACCTCGCAATACTCATCTATATTGCCCGCTGCCTGAAGAATAAAAGTTCGAATTCCTTATCCTGGCATAAATGATGACGCGCCTCTTTTCTTTGCTTTTTCTCCTTCCACTTTACCTAAACACCAGTCATATCAAATATGCTGCAGATCTAAAATGGGCGAGGTGGCCGGCCCCTCCTTGCCAACAGTTTGGCTGTGTCCTTTCTATGAGCCTCCTCCGGACCCAAAAGTTATCATCCTTCCTTTGTGCTCCACTAACCTGACATAAGTGTTCATCATATAAAGTCTTAGGTTGTTCCTTCACTAGGCTGCAAGTGTGACACCACACCCTGTCGCCTCCATTCTCCAGCATCTATCACAGAGCTGCTCAATCTCTGTGGAAGGACCCTGCAGTTCCCGCAGAGGGCAGCGGGACAGACGCCACTCCTCTTTTCTCTTTTAATTTCACATTAATATGAGGGTACAAACGGTTAGGTTACTTTGTTAGGTAAAGTCCCTGTTGTACCTCCACTTCCACAAGCGGCGCTGTGGCAACCGCACCTGTAGGTCGCAGGCTCCCGACTGCCCCGCGCGGCTCCGCCCCTCCCTGGCAACAGCCCTCCCGCCCATTGGGCCAGCGTGGGCGCGGCCGTCCAATGGAGCGAGGCGTTGGTTCAAAGAGGCGCCACCATCTTGGGGAGCTGGGACGCCCGTGTCGCTCGGCGGCCGCGGGAGGAGGGTAGGCAGGTGGGCCTGGTCTCGTGGTCTTGCCCCTGTCCTGTTCCACCCCGAGCCGAGATGCCGCAGTACCAGACCTGGGAGGAGTTCAGCCGCGCGGCCGAGAAGCTCTATCTCGCCGACCCCATGAAGGTAAATTCCTGGCGGGGCCGCTGCCTCGCCCGCCAACCCTGGGTCGGGATGTCTTCCCTGCCGTCTCCTCGGCCTCCGGAGCTTCCCTAGCGCTTTCAAGAGGGGCAGGGGTGAACAGGGACCGTCTTGTTCCTGCTGTCTCCTCCTCTCCGTCCCAGGTCCAGCAGTCCGGGGCGTTGCAGCCCGGCGCGGTCCTGCGGTCGGCCTGTCTCCGCCCCCCGTGCCCGGTGCGGCCTTTGCTGCTTAGAGAGGTTGACGGGTCTGTAATGCCAGGGCTCCCCCTGCAACCTCGGCTGCTTGTCCCTTAGTTGACGGGTTCTCTTCCCGTACCGCCAAGGCGTAAGAGTACCTCGTGCATAAAGAGGGGATAATGTTTTTCTGCCTCTGCGCAGACATTCTTGAAAGATCCGTATTTGGAAGCATCTGCACCCCGCAGAATAGAGATTCTTGATCTTTTTTTTTTTTTTTTGAGACAGAGTCTCTGACTTTGTCGCCCTCGGTAGAGTGCCGTGGCGTCACAGGCTGAGGCAAGAACACCGCTTGAGCCCAAGAGTTTGAGGTTGCTGTGAACTATGATGCCACCAAGAGCGACAAAGTGAGACTCTGTCTAAAAAAAAAAAAAAAAAAAACTCAGTAAACTCCCTTAAAGTCTCCCAGGTATTCCCTGAATATGGATTTGTTTAGGGAATTTTCAGTACAGCTCTTCAAACTGGCCGCGAATAGAATGCCCAATTTATTTTTAAGTCTTAGAAAAAATAAATTACAGCAATAGGAATGAACTAAAGTGAATTATTTAAACTTCATTTCAATTCATAAGTGTATATAGTAAAGGATGCCTTTAGATATTTGGAGTATTTTAAGAGGATCCTTTTCAACCCACTTGGAGACTAAATTATGAGAAATGTTGTCTGTCTTCATTGTTTTTCTTTTCTTTCTTTTTTTTTTTTTTTGAGACAGAGCCTCAAGCTATCCCCCAGGGTAGAGTGCCGTGGCATTACAGCTCACAGCAACCTCCAACTCCTGGGCTCAAGCGAGTCTCTTGCCTCCGCCTCCCAAGTAGCTGGGACCACAGGCGCCCGCCACAACGCCCGGCTATTTTTTTTTTTGGTTGCAGCCGTCATTGTTGTTTGGCGGTTCTGGGCTGGGGATTCGAACCCGCCACCTTAGGTGTACGTGGCTGGTGCCCTAGCCGGTTGAGCTATCGAGCCTCTTCATTGTTTTTAAATAATGTATTTTTGTTTCAGGCACGTGTGGTTCTCAAATACAGGCATTCGGATGGGAGTTTGTGTATGAAAGTAACAGATGATTTAGTTGTAAGTATACATTTTTATTTGTTGCATACTCTCAGATGTATTAGAATGAATAATTTGTTTGAAATTATTTACTTAGAATTTATGTAGATTACTCCTGAGGATGCTTATTTTGCATTTCATTCTAAAATGAAGAACTTCATTCTAGAAGTTACTTTTATAGACCTTCAGGAAATATTTAGTCTGTTTCATTAATGTAGTATGTCAAGTGTAGTTTGCACTTAATCTTAGCCAAAAGGCCAAGAAGCTATTTGAGTATAGTTTAATACAATTCTCTTATCAGACCTTAGCAATGTAGAAAACAAAACTGGATATAGGCAAATAAAGATTTCCTTTTTGGTAGATGAGAAGTACATGATGGTGTTCAAACACCAGGTATGGTATTGTTATGTCTCTCTCCGGCCTTTAATCTGCTCACAATTGTTACTTGCTCACATCCTATTCATTCCTTAATACCACAGCTGGTATTCCACTGAAGTTGCTCTTTTTCTTTCTTTCTTTTTTTTTTTGCAGTTTTTGGCTGGAACTGGGTTTGAACCCGCCACCTCTAGTATTTGGGGCCAGCGCCCTACTCCTTTGAGCCACAGGTGCTGCCCTGATATTGCTCTTTGTGTGAATGCATCATCAGCCCCCTTTTTGTTTTGTTGTTGTTTGGAGACAAAGGCTTGATCTGTCACCCTGTGTAGAGTTCAGTGGTGGCATCATAACTCATTGGACCCTCAAACTTACGGGTTTAAGCAATCCTGCCTCAGCCTCCCATGTAGCTGGGAATACAGACTCACACCACAAGGCCTGGCTAATTTTTCTATCTTTAGTAGAGGTGGGATCTTGCTCTTACTTAGGCTGGTCTCAAACTCCTCTGAGTTCAAATGATCTTCCCACTTCTACCTCTCAAAGTGCTAGGATTACAGGCGTGAGCCACTGTTCCCGGCCCACAAGCCCCTTTCTTTTCTTTTTTTTTTTTTGAGATGAGTCTCAAGCTGTCACCCTGGGTAGAGTGCTTTGGGGTCACGACTCACAGCAACCTCCAGTTCTTGGGCTTAAGCAATTCTCTTGCCTCAGCCTCCCAAGTAGCTGGGACTACAGGCGTCCGTCACAATGCCCAGCTATTTTTTGGTTGTAGTTGTCACTGTTATTTGGCAGGCTCAGGCTGGATTCAAACTCGACAGCCAGCTCTAGTGTATGTGACTGGCGCTTAGCCACTTGAGCTACAGCCACAGAGCCAAGCCCCTTTATTTTCAAACCCGGTGATCTCATGGGTTCATATCTTAAGTTCTTTAATGCTTTTGATACCAACTCCACTTTTTCATGGAGATTATTATTCTGGCACTTGTTATCTCCATTTTATCTTGGCTTTCTTGCTCTTAGGTTTTTGTTGTTGCTTTCTTCTTTGCTAATTATTTCTTTGATGTGGCCCTGTAAATGTTTATTTCCCCAGGATTGGTTGTCTTTCATGCAGCTTCTTCAGGAGCAAGCTATTTAGTCAAGTCTAATACTGCCTGTATCTATGTCTACTTGCAGTTATGTGTGAGCCAAAATATTTAGCTCATATTTTTCTTGATTTCATGATAAGCTCTATGTTGAGCATCCTTACCTCATATACTCCTCAAAGTTAGCCTGTCCGGAAGTGAAGTTTATCATCTCTTGACAGACTGGTTCCTTCTTCTGTTCCTACAGTTAGTTGTAGGATACAATTTAGTTTCACCTGTTTAGAAATGGAATTGTGATTGGTCCCTTCCTTTCTTTCATTCTCATGTTCACTGTTCCTGCATTTGTTTAAAAAACTTGAATTGATCCTCTGTAATACCATATATATGCTTTGCTAGGCATTTGGAATTTTCTTTTTTTTTTTTGGAGACAGAGCCTCAAGTTATCCCCCTGGGAAGAGTGCCGTGGCA